GGGGTGTGCCAGAATGGAGGGTGGAACCGCATGCGGGCGCAGCCACTGGGGCCTTCGGTGGAGCTCCCTATGGGGCCACGAAGCGTATGAGGGGTGTGCCAGAATGGGGGGTGGAACCGCATGCGGGCGCAGCCACTGGGGCCTTCGGTGGAGCTCCCTATGGGGCCACGAACCGTGTGAGGGGTGTGCCAGAATGGGGGGTGGAACCGCATGCGGGCGCAGCCACTGGGGCCTTCGGTGGAGCTCCCTATGGGGCCACGAAACGTGTGAGGGGTGTGCCAGAATGGGGGGTGGAACCGCATGCGGGCGCAGCCACTGGGGCCTTCGGTGGAGCTCCCTATGGGGCCACGAAACGTGTGAGGGGTGTGCCAGAATGGGGGGTGGAACCGCATGCGGGCGCAGCCACTGGGGCCTTCGGTGGAGCTCCCTATGGGGCCACGAAGCGTGTGAGGGGTGTGCCGAAATGAGTGGTGGGGAGGCATGCGGGCGCAGCCACTGGGGCCTTCGGTGGAGCTCCCTATGGGGCCACGAAACGTGTAAGGGGTGTGCCAGAATGGGTGGTGGGGAGGCATGCGGGCGCAGCCACTGGGGCCTTCGGTGGAGCTCCCTATGGGGCCACGAAACGTGTGAGGGGTGTGCCAAAACGGGGGGTGGAACAGCATGCGGGCGCAGCCACTGGGGCCTTCGGTGGAGCTCCTTATGGGGCCACGAAGCGTGTGAGGGGTGTGCCAGAATGGGTGTGGGAGGGGGAGGAGGGGGGAGGAAGGGGAGGAGGAGGAAGGAGGAGGAAGGAGGAACGCGGGGCGACGTCTCTTCAAAACGAGGACCCAACACCACAGGATGGTTGGGAAAAACAGGCTAGTGGAGAAGATGAAATGGTCATTGGAGCTGCTGAAGTACAAGCAGTTATAAAGCATGAGCTCCTATGAAAAGACTGCTGTTAGGAAGGCTGCGACGGTGGCCGGGGCAGCATGGAGGAAGTGACGGCCGAGGGCCCCCCGACTGGAACTCGCCCCATCCTCGAGGGCCGGCCCGCGAAGCAAGCGCCGGAGGGCACGGGCGGTCTCCGCGGACATCGCGCTCAGCAGGCCATGCGTTTGTGGTCTCAGGTTCTTCGGATATCACGGAGCTGAGGTCGTCGGGTGGGATGGGAAGGAGTTGCGCCAAGCACAGAGCCACTGCTTGGCGACAATTTGTTCTGGCACCATGTCCCGCAGCAGGTCCTTGTCCCTAGTGCTTTATCAGGGCCCCACCTTCGAGCTGCCCTTGGGTCGCGTGGAAAGGTTTGTGCGGGTGCGATGCCGGGCTGAGACATCCCGAGGCCACTCCGCCTGGCGACCTCAGTTTTGGCGAGAAATCCGATGGATTGGAACGACGTCCGAGGCCCCATCGGTGCTGCCTTGATGTCTCTTGGAAGATTTGGCTGGCGTTTCGACGCGTCCTTCGAGTTGTTTGATTCAAAGGGCAATCATTTGATTCCGACTGCCACCTTCCTTCAGAAGCTTCAGAGCGACCTCAAAGCGAGCTCGTTGTTGATGTTCTTTAGGAGGGTGGCCTCCAAGCTGACGCTACTTGCAGGTTCGGTTTTGGACATGTCTGTTGCCGGGAGGCTTTGCGGCGTCAAGTCCCCGCTGAATTCGGCAGAACAGTCGGCTCTGACATCATTTCTATTGCAGCAACAATGGGCAACGACGCGATTGCACCGAGCAGGTTGCCACACGGACACAAGATGCGATTGCGGGCGTCCCACGGACGGCATGCACCACAGGCTGTTGTATTGCCCTTTGACACAAGCTTTCCGCGATGATTTGGAGGAGGCGGTTTTGGTTCTAGTGAACGGTGACCAGGGGCGGCATCCTCTGTTCTTTGGGTTTCAGACGGGGTGTGTTTTTGTGTTCTCCCCCGGAGGGAATTGGGGATCAGGATGGATGGCATTTTCTGGTGTCGTGAGTCGTCGGTGTCGTCCGAGGAGGCATTCGGCGGAGAATTGTATTCGGATGGAAGTACCTTCAAAGACGGACAGAGGATGATGTTTTGTGCGGGATGGGGTCTGGCTGTTATTGACCAGCACGGTGAATTATGGGCGACCTGTCGCGGCCGAGTAGGGAGAATACTTCCGCAGACCAGCCCTGCCGCAGATAATGTTGCAGCGTACGTCGCCCTGACCCAGTTCCCCCGCATGACCCGATTCATTGCTGATTACCAGGGCGTCGTAGGAATGACTGGCTGGCTCCCTGGCAGACTGTACACTAGGAGTTCTTATTATGATGGTTTACATATGGAAGCCAGAGGGCGCAAAGTTTTTGCAATGCCCAGGTTACCAAGACTGAATCGCATGTACATCCTGACTGTTTGCGACATGATCTGATAAGTGGCTAAGGGCCGTCGGCAATTCTGCGGCCGACGGTGTGGCCAAGACCAGAGCCTTCAGCCACCATCGACCCTCCAGCGAGGAGGTTGCAGCTGCCCTCTGCGAGAGCAAGGCTCTGATAACTTCTTTGGTTATGTGGCTAAATCTGTGCTTGTTTTCGCCCGACCTCGAAAAACCGCGAGTGCAGCGCGGGCCAAGGGCAGTGGAGGGAACTATTTTGACGGTGCCTTCATCTGGTGCCCTTGCGGGCTTGGATATATTTGGGCAGGCCGCTCGGGAGGGCAATCGCCCCCCCACTCCTTTGCCTTTTCGGACGCCCTTCCTGCTGTGGGGGAGCGTGCCGACCACGTCAAGCCCAGGCCCCTGGTGTCCCTTCCGCCCCTGCCCCCTCCTCCCCTCCTCCCCCCGCTTCACCTCATCAGTGGGCCTGACAATCCCGCTCCTCACGCTGGAGGTGTGCGGGATGTTTTGGGAAGTGCCAGGGCGAGGACCGTCTTGATGCGGGACGTTTTCCAGGTTTTCCAGATAGACTCCGCGATGTGCTGCGCAACCCGAAAGGTCACGAACTGTAAATCGCTGACTTCTTTGCCTACGATGACGGATTCATTATAACATGTAGCGCCTGTGGAAGTTACACTTCCGATGGTCGGCCTGTAAATTTACAGGATGCGTGCGGTGGGAAATTCAAATCCGATGGCGCAAAGGCCGCTTGGAAGCGTGTAGGGGAGCTGAAGCAGCCTTCGTACAAGCAGGGGCCGGCCAAGGTGCCAGAACCTGCCCTTGCGTTCGACTTGCGCCGTAAGTGAAGTGCCCAATCTCTACTCTTCTTTTCTCCGGCCTCCTCTTCCTCCTCCTCCCTCCTGTGTTCTGGCCTGTGGAACCGGCATCCGGGTTGTTTCCGCCAGTGCTTAGGCGACCAGTTGACTATCCTGGTCCCCGAAACCCGATCGGGTTTTGACAATTTGCATATGTGCCGCGTGCCGATCTTTGTGCAGTCTGCGTGCTCAGGGCAGCCTGCCCTGGATGAGGCGGTACTGGAGGTTTGGGGAAAGAGACGAGTGTGGGGGGGACATTTTGTTAACCACGCCGTGGCTCGGTGCTGAGATGCACCATCTATCCCATTAAGTGGTATAGCGCTGTCTTGCTAGTATGTCGTGGTATTTTTTGCGCGCCGATACTCTTGCATATAACGAGCCTGAGGGCACAGACTTGTGGCAATTAGGTCGACCACCGTTTTTGTGTCACCGTAGCTGCTGGTTCAGTGCAACTTGTAATGTAGAGTAGGCAACCCATTTAATTGGTTTGTAGCCTGTCGCCTGATAGCCCCAGCCATGCACAGCATTGCATTATTCGTGGCTGTTATCTGTGGGTTTGGCCTTCTGGCATGTTGGTTAGAGAGCCGCCATGTGCCGCTTAGCGGTGCAGGGTCTGCCTTCCAACCTTCGTTGCTGGATGGCCCAGCCTTGCTCTCGACGTGTCCAATCCTCCTCCTCCTCCTCCTCCTCCTCCTCCTCCTCCTCATCCTCCCTCTACCTGAGCCGCGGCTCCGCCGTTCGGTCGTCCCTCCTTCTTGCTGCTCTAGGGCTGAAAGGGCAGAGGGAGGGGAGAGAGCGGAGAGTGCCGCGTCCGCGCCCGCTGTGGACGCACGGCGGCGCTAATCAGGCGCCGCCCCGCATCCGCCCTGCCCCCCCGTTTCTCTGCCTCGCGCCCTGGCCTAGTTGCGAGCGTGGTACGATTGCGCCACCCAGGTCAGGGTATTTTCCTTGACGCATCTCATTGAGATTGAGTCCTATCTGTGCTATTCGCCTTCGTTCACCAACGCGGGCTTCAGTCCATTGGGGGACACGGTCCCCACAGGCTTGAAGAGGACGAGGAGGATTGGACTGGATACGCCGGAAAGAGAGCAGGGGAATAATCAGCAGCTCCGGTAGCGGCACGGTGAACGCCAGAAGTCGCGGCCGGGCCCCCGATTTGGCGAGCTCTCTCACAGCGCGGCAGTCAGGCGCCTCTTGAACAGCAAGAGGACCAGCACGATGAAGTGCACCGCCTGGACTAGCGCGACAGGTAGGAGCAGCAGGTCCAAGGCCCGCAGCACTGAATCTGCTTCCTGGTGCGCGAGCATCACCGCTATGGGCAGCGACCGCATTGGCCCATGAATCTGGCAAGGAAGGGAGGTGGGTTGGGTTGGGCTGGATGGGCTCCCCCCAGGGACACTGGGACAGCAGCGGCTTTTGCTCAGCCGAGAGGGGAGGAGGAGTATCGGCATGAAGGAAAAAGGTCCCGAGGAAGTGGGTCCTGGAACTTTTGGCCTGTTTTCGGGCTCCCAGGGTCTTCGACAGGCACTGGGGCCGGAAAGAAGCAGAGGTCCAGGACCCGTTTCCCTCAGGACCCGTGTTGCTCCTGCCAGACCAGGAGGGGGACGAGGGGCAGGAGCAGGAGGCAGGGAAGGAGGATGAAGGGGAAGAGGGGCAGGAGGAGGGAGGGACTGAAGGGAGGGAGGGAGGATGATCACGAAGAGGAGGGGGGTGGATCACGAGGAGGAGGGGGTAGGATCACGCGGGGGGGGTCACGAGAAGGACGGCTCTCTCTTCGTAAGGGTGGCTGTATCAGTGGTTTTGGGGGTATCCAG